GATATATAAGTGCTATATATCCACTGACGTCCCCAACTGGCATGTAGTACTTCAAGATGAAACAAGTATTGTGATCATACTCTTTTCAGTAAGGTGACAGACCCAGTCAATTTTAGGCGTTCTTTCAAAAAGGAATGATATATTACTTCAATCCAAAATTCCAGGTTTTACACTTCGGCGGATCTCTGAAACTTCATTATTATTAGTGCTGGAGCAAGAGGAACAAGTACAAGCACAAGTAAATCAGTACAAAATTAATCAGCAGCAGACTAAATGCATTTTTCCTTTGTGTACTCTTAAACCAGGAACAAGGACTGCTTGAGGCTGAATGATTGGAACAATAAAGCATCACCTTCCTTTATTGAATATTATCTTCATAGATGAAAAGTGGCTTAAAGGATATAAGCCGTGTTAATCAGCAAGAGTACAAATGAATACTTGTAATCATTACAAATTTATCAATCAGAAGCTTTAGGACAACAGTAGGTTGGCCTCCATTTATAACCATTCGTGTAACAACAGTTTGAAGTTAATGGTAGTGGCGAAAAAAGTTACTTATGACTGAGTTACTTAAGACATCATCTTAATATCATTAATATTAATAATTAATAATATTAATATCATTAAGATAGCATCCCCAGGGTCATGTGATTGCCATTTGTAACCTTCCCAGGAGACTAATGACAAGCAAAGTTAGTGGGGGAAACCAGATTCGTTTAATGACCACGTGATTTGCTTAACAACCGTGGCATAAAAAGTTGTAAAATAAGGTACAACCATATCAGTTAGGGAGCAAAGTTCCAGTTCTAACTGTGGTTGTAAGTCAAGGATCAACTATTGTTTCTAGCATTAGTTCAGATTTTAATTTTTAAAATGTTTTCCCCCCTAACATTAAAGCTTCTGCAGGTGATCCATTGTAAAATTTCAGATTTAAGATGGATTGCTATATATCTCTAGTATTTGCGTTTATTCTGACTAAGGTTTTTTTTTTTCCTTTTGGTTTCTATTTAAATGCTGGCTTTGGGTTGTAATAAATAAAACTTAAATTATCTTCACCACAGGAAGGCAAATTTCATAACTGATGGTTTTACAATTTTGCTAACAGTTTTTATAGGCAGGCCTTTAGGCAAATTTTAATCATTGTGATGAGATCATGATTCCTTCACAGTTAATTGAGATAAGCTATCCAGAAGTTCATGGAATCATTCTTTGTCAACCACAAACACATTCTTTGTGTCATTTTGCGTGTAAAAATGCCAGAACTGTGGATGAAATAGACCAAGCAATAGCGATAACACTTAGACTTATATATCACTTCAACGGTGCCTTTGCAGTCCTCTCCAAGCGGTTTACAGAGTCAGCCTATTGCCCCCAACAATCTGGGTCCTCATTTTATCGACCTTAGAAAGATGGAAGGCTGAATTAGTCAGAATCGAACTGCTGGCAGTCAGGCAGAATTAGCCTGCAATACTGTATATTCTAACCACTGCGCCACCAGGGTGATACCAAGAATCAAGGTTTGATACAACTTTGCATAAGATTGGCATACTTTGGCAATTATGGAAAGGTGGTTAGCTCCATACAACTGATCTGCAATACCATCTAGTCCATCAGTCTCCAACTTGAGAATGCTGAGCTTTTATCATCCTTACTGTAGATATAGGTCAGGGATGGCTAACCTTTTCAGCTTGGTGTGTCGAAAATCGGGAAAAAGTGTAGCCTTCCTCGGGTCGTGTGTCACTTCAAGAAATATCAATAATTTGGTTTATGACGGACTGGGCTGGGGTTATCACACAGGGCTGTGAAACTCGTCTCCCTGGTCTCAGGACTGCAGGTGCAGGATGTGGGGATCGGAAGGCCACCTTACAGGGCTGTGAACCTCATGGATCTCCTTTCCTCCTGTAGCGTTCCTGAGGTAATGAAACGGACAAACTTCAGTTTATGGCGGTTAAAACTGGTTCTCTGCTGCAAAGATCTCGCGGCAGCGGTGACACCACGCCTCCACGCAACAAGCAGGGAGCAGGGATTGGAGCAGAGCACAGGCAGCCTCTAAATGTGCAGGTTTTCCCCACACCAACAGGCGTGTCAGTCAAAGTGCCTTGGCGTGTCACAGGTTAGCCATCACTGATATAGGTTGAGTGGTGGGGTGGCCTAGTGGTGAAGACAAAATTTAATTTTTTTAAAAAAAAAATAGTGGTGAAGAAAAAATTTGAAGTTCAATCCTAAGGAGCAGCAGATGTTTATCTCCTAGGGTACCCAGAAAAAAATATCTGCTGTGAACTTCGCTTAGGTGTCAGGAAGGGCATCCAGACAGTAAATGCTCAGCTCTACCCAGTTGCCCTGACTCTACCCCAAATTAAGGGATTACAGTGTTATAAAAAGGGAGTTACTGTAGATATAGGTCCCAGAAATAGAAATCTAATAAAAGGTACGTCTTCTTTAAAAAAAAAAAAAAAAGCATGCTACCCAAAATTTTGAATGAAGTTTTATAGAAATCTTGTCAGGCTATAAATGAGGTTCAGGTTGTGCAAATAGAAGTGTAGAACCACCAAGTTATTGAAAGAGGAGCTCCTAGTTGGAGATAAGTAATCTTGATTTGGGAAGATCAGAATCAAATCCCGGTCTTCAAATATTTAACCTTTTTATTGCTTTTCATTGTTTGCTACTCCATTAATTGAGCATATCAGTGTATCATTGCAAAATTTTTGGAGTGTAAAAAATAGGTGATAGGAGTTATTTTTCTTCTAGCTTTTTGGGTTTCCCTGGCATTTATATAATTTATATAATGTAGATAATCTTGAATTTAAAAAAAGAAAGAATGAAAAGAGAGAGAGAGAGAGACCCTAGTGCCGATGCACAGAAGGCAGAGGAGAGGAGAGCAGTGGAAATCTATAGGCCAGTCCTTGGGATGGAAGAGCCACCACTCCTAGCGAAGCCACCCTAGCTCTGGGGATAAAAGGCAGTGGGCAGAGATGACTAGGTGTAGTAGACGACCTTTCATCTCCTTGCCGGATAGACTTGTTAGCCTGCTGTGTGAGAGAAACTTTTTGCAGGAGCTGCTGGCATTCCTAATAAAGGAATCATTGCTTCAACTACAGAGGGTTTGTCGTGTTTGGGGAGCTGGGTCAGAACACCATCAAACTTTTCAGAAGCATAGCAGGACACTTAACTTTGAGGAGGTATACAAGTAGATTGCTTGTCAGGTTCTTGCGCATTTCCACCGGCGTTGCAATAATGTCCTGGCTGCCGGACAGCCACCTTGGAGATTATGACAGATGAGGGCAATTACTATCTGATCTTTTCAATCCTCTCCAATAAACTTTGTAATACCAAGCTAGGAAATTGTTGGAGGTGTCCTTTATGAATGTTACAGAAATGTCTATGGGAAAGGGGCCAGTGCCACTTTGATCAGGCAGAATTATTAGGTAATTGCTTTAAAATCTCGATTGGTTCCTCAGAGATAAAAGAGTGACAAATTGATCTATAATCCAACTCTTCAATTTCAGATACTCCTGGATAAAACAAATCACAAATATGGAGGTGGGGGGGGGGGGAAGAGTGTAATACGCAACTGCTCCTGCACGAATCCTCCAGGGTGCTTTTCACCTTTCTTCCCTTCTTCCCTTTACTGCAATCCTCGACTTAACAATCCTAATTGGGGGGGGGGGGGGGCGGACTTTCTGTATCTAAGTAATGTGGTCATAAAGCAGGAGATCGCGTGAACCATATTGCTTAGTGATGGAAAGCCTGGCGTTTGCAGTTGCCGTCATAAGTCCAGATGCATGGGTCATTAACTGGGGAATGCTAGGTAAAGTGTTCTGACCCAGCCTTCGCAAGTAGTGATAAGACATTTACTCATGAGTAAAACAAACCTCTTTTGATAATAGGGAAGTCAAGTCTTTTATTCACAGGGATAAACAAAACAAAAAAAATCAAACATAAATAGTCCCAAGAAACCTGGGTTTATCCAAGAAATCCAAATTGCTTGCTGTATACTAGAAACAAAAGGTTGTCTGAGACAACTGGTCACTCCCAAACCCCTCCTATTTATTTTCCATCCAGGGAGCGGCTGGCTAGCATCTAGATCTGCTTTTCCCTGAGAGCCAGCTTATTGATTTTCTTTGCTCTCCTCTCCTCTCTGCGCATACACGCATCTGGGATGGGCCCCATCTGTTCCTCCCCCTCACTCAGCTCAGGCCCCGAAGACAGCTGCCTCTCCATCTGGGGAGGACGGAAGGCCCCGGCTCTGCCTCTCTCTTTGATTCTGTTTCCTTATCGGAGCCTTCCAAAGGCTTCGAAGCTGGCCCGAGCTCTCCCTTTCCCTCAACCTGTTCCTCATCTGACTCTGCAGCTAGCTCTATTGGCAGCTGATGGGCCACAACAGTAAAGATAGGAGGAGATGGGGGAGGCTCTGGGAAGATTGGCTCACCATCAGAAAGCTTGCATCAGATCACATGATGATGTGTTTAACGACGTGACCAAATTGTAGTCATTTGCAGTGAGAAGTCAAGGACTGCCTGTATTAGCAGAAGTACATCTCATCACTGTTTCCTGTTACTTCACTGAGGTGGTGCATATTTGCCGCAGGATCCACAAAATCTATCTCTATATAAATGGCTCTGTGTGTGTGTGTGTGTGTGTCTATATATGTTCCAGCATAATTCTGGAACGTCTCAACCAAAGTTGGTACACAGATTACTTTCTCTCTAGAAACAAATACAGTGGGGGTAAGACACCCCTAACACCCCTCGGTGTGTGTATTCTGTTAAGAAACAGCCTGTTGTGCCTTCAAATGGCTTCTACCGTACTGCCTTAAAATGGCTTCTGCTGTACAGCACTGTGGAGTTGCCATGGTAATGGCTTCACAGTACTCCACAAGGGGGCTTTTTCTGGTAAGGGGGAAAATCCAACATTAGAAATTACGTTAAATAAATATACCGGGTTATCGGCTAGTGTTCCATAAAAGTTGGCCAGTAAATTATTTCTCTTTTCAATTGTAGCATGGCTATTCAAGTTGACAAATTCACCTTCGAAAGTAACCCAGACTCACCTGGTGAGAGAACACAATATGCAAATCCAAAGCAGCTGGAAGAAGAAAGGAAGCAAGCAAAAAGCCTGGAGATCAACAACAAGTTAGACATTGTCTGGAAAATTATATCCTTTTTTTCAGTAATTCTCAACTTGGGCTTTTTGAACTTTAATTCGTTTCTAGGAATGCATATGACAAAAGACATGGTTTAAAATGGAGCATTTCACATAACTACAAACTTTTAAACTAATTTTAACAAGCACTTTGATTTCTCTTCAGGTTTCTTTTCAAGACGTCTTATTTTCTCCTTCAGTTGAGCGTTCCACACAACTTTTATGTTTTAAATAATGAAGAACTGTAGTGTGTTATTTTTATGAACATTGGCATAACTCCGAGTCTTCCAAGACATCCCTTTGAGAATATCTGTAAGAAAATAGAATCTGACTCCTGACCGCAATCCACTGGATATAAGGAGAAGAAATATGATTAAAGAGATGCTAGAAATACTTTTGCTCTGACCCCAGTGGCATTAAAAGTTGCAGACATAGCTTTAATGGAAAGCACAGTGTCAAGTGCAGGAAATCAGGAGTCAGAATAACAGAATAACAGAGTTGGAAGGAACATTTGAGGTCTTCTAGTCTAACCCCCTGCTTGGGCAGAAGACCATATACCATTTCAAACAAGAGACTGTCCAGTCTCTTCTTAAAAACTTCCAGTGTTGGAACAGCCACAACTTCTGGAGGCAAAGTTGTTCCATTGGACTTTCTTGTTTTTGTTTTTGTTTTCCCTTGAAAACAATTTGCTTCTTCTCCAAGAAGCTGCTTCAGTTCTGGCTCAGCTATATCCCCGGCAAGTGATTAGTTAAGGAGTATCAAACCAAAAGCAATGTTTAAAACCAAGATAAATATGTCTTTAACCAATTATAGCTTGCTTTCATTGCAGCAAAACTAAATTTAGCTACCGCTCAAGTAATGAATGGTTTTCAGGTCTGAAGGAGAAGGTTCATGTAAAATTTATCTGACCACTCACCCGTTTCTGCTCTTACAAATCATAAGTAAGCAGGCAATTATTTTGAACCGTTGGAGCAGAAATCGATGAGAGAAAATTGGCTTAGGTAGAAAAAATAGACAAGCTGGTTGGAGTAGTTTTGCAGACCTATTTTGCCCGTGGCCCTGATATCAAATGAGTAGGCATCTTCTTATATGTGTCAGACAAACAAATGACAGTTAGGAAGAGCTTTTGCCCAGCGGTTTCTAATAATACATTTTTTAAAAAAATTCTTATTTAAATAAGAACCTCTAGCAACTTTTCCCCCCTTCAACTATTCAAATCCCAATATTGGAAAGTTTCTACATCTGAACGTAGCATGTGCTAAGGGCATCTGCTGCTGTCTGTGGAACAGAATGTTGTTTCTGCTATTCAGCGTTGGAGCAGATGGCAGACAATTTTTAGACTGGTTAATATTCTTCAGCCCCTTCGTTTGATTAATATTTGCTAAATATTTAATAGGTAGTTCAGATTTTAGTGCTTTGTGTGGAGGAGTTTTCCAACTGAAAGGACAATTTTGGTAAGGAATTTGGCTGGGGTTTTGAAAGAGAAAAGCACTTGTCCTCAGATGCAAAATGAAAATTCACATTTATTTTTTTTAAAAAAAAAGTCTGATGTGGATGAAAAAAAGAAAAAGAAAGCTCCAGGGTTTACCCTTTTTCTGTTTTTCATGTATTTTTAAATATATCTATAGAACAATGCCATAAGCTCCTGAAATTCCACCCCCCCTTCTGGGTAGACTATTGGAAGAGATAAGATTGCTGGCATCAGGTGCAATAATCAGGAAGCAAGAGGGTTCAAATGACTACAGGTTTATTGCAATTAACCAATGGCACAGCTTGCCTTCAGATGTTGGAGGTGCTCCATCACTGTAGGCTTTCAGAAAGAGATTGGACAACCATTTGTCTGAAATGATATAGGATCTCCTGCTTGAGTGGAGGGGGGTTGGACTTGAAGACCTCCGAACTCCTCCCAGCTCTATTGTTCTGTGTTCCATGCATGCTCTCTACAGGAATCTGAATTACCCACCGTCAAAGCAAATTGGTGGTAGATAAGAGTCAACAGAATTCAAGGTGGGCTGGACTTTGATCTCTTGTGAGCACGAAGGGACTTGAGACTAATGATGCATTTGACCCCTCCCTCAGCTCAGCCTGGTCATCTCCTACATCGGTGAGGAATGGTTAGAATGGCCACATATGAAAGGAATGAATAAAACTGAGAGTAACTGTCATTAACCATTGATGAAAATCAAACTTTAATTATTCAGTTAAGTTTCAATCAGTATTAGTTTGAAATACACTTTGCCACTGGTGATTATTCAACCCAGACATGTGGCATTAAAATGATCACCCGTCATCATGCACTTGATTCTCGAAAGCCCATTATATTTTTGAAAAGGTGAAAAATGTTCTAATGATAGTTGAGTGAGGGCAAGTATTTTATCCTATCTCCTGGCTTGTCAAAACACCACGTCTCTAAATAGCATGAAGCCACGTCCCTTGAGTTTATACCTGCAATTTTTCTTGAAGCTCTAAAATCATTAAACAAAGGAACAAAAACCCCAAAGGAAGGATTAGATTGGAAAAACATGGGAAGGTTATTACGTGGTAACAATAGCAGCAGAAATCTCTATGAATAAATTATATTGCTGAGGAAAGAGTGAGCAAACACCCTGAACAAATGAATTCAGAAAGATGACAATTTATTTGGTATTTTTGTTGAAGTCTCTACATAGTGTCTGGATCCCATTTTGTTGAGTTTTGTATTATTATTTTTAATACATTGTGAACCTTCCAGTTGGAATCAAGTACAGGTTGTCCTTGACTTATGACCACAGTTGAGCCTTAGTGGCTAAGCAAGACATTTGTTAAGTGAGTTTTGCCCCATTTTATGACCTTTCCTTTCACAGTTGTTAAGTAAATCGCTGCAATTGTTAAGTTAGTAACCTGGTCGTTAAGCGAATCTGGCTTTCCCATTGACTTTTGCTTGTCAGAAGTTTGCAAAAGGTGATCACGTGACCCCGGGACACTGCAACCGTCATAAATATGCGTCCATTGCCAAGCCTCTGAATGTTGATCACATGATCATGGAGATGCTGTTCTGACCCAAACCTGGTTCCAAGGAAGCAAACACGAGACAAAGGTAACAGCACAACCTTTTAATGTTTCTTAACGAATCCCGTTTCTTCATGGATAAAAGGCTGCTTCAAACCAATTAGCTCCGATAAGAAAGAGCCTTGCCAAGGTTTTGCCTGGCTGCCAAGAACACCAGATAAAGTTACTTAGCAATAATTCCAACACAAAGAGTCTCCAAACACCAACTCAGATATTCCTAACGTCCACCAGGCTCAAGTGTAAAACTTCTTTGCTTTCTGCAAAGAACTCTGGTTTCTCAGCTGGCTTTTATCTCCTCAGGGAGGGGCCATTACCTTGCAGCCTTACTCCCGAGTCGCCCATGCTGCAGCAGCTGCTCTTTCCTCCGAGCTGCCCTGCGTGCATGCGCACTTGGCACAGGCTCCTCGGGGACCTCTTCCTCACTGCTGCCAGCCTCCACAATCTCAGAAGGCAGCACTCCACTCCCTGATGGTCCTGGCCCCATCGCATCTGCTGCCGGTGAACCACAACAGATGCTGCAAAGGATGTAACTTTGAAAAATGGTCATAAGTCACATTTTCCAGTGCTGTTGTAACTTTGAACGATCACTAAACGAACTGTTGTAAGTCAAGGACTATCTAGTGCCAAAACTGAGTACTCTTACGGGCGCCTTTCAGTCAGTATTGAATCCTGGAAGCTGCCTCAACTAACCCCTGTAGTATTTTTCGGAAATGGTTTGCCATTTCTTGCTTCTTAGGGCTGAGAGAGAATGACTGGGTCAGGGTCGCCCCGCTGGCTTTTTGCCGAAGGTGAGACGAACTCACAGCCTCCCAGGTTCTACCTTTAACCACCGCACCAAACTGAATAGATTTTTTTTTTTTAAAAAAATTGATCCTCGGTATTGCAAAATTTGCAATGGAAATAAGAACAGAAAATTATAGATCGATCTATTAATCATTACGAGCATTTTTTGTTAGTATAGCTTCTATTTATGAAACTTTTTATTAATTGGTGCAAAAGTAGGACATTTGCTCACCTGTATTTATTCCTATGGGAAATTATAAGGGAAACATCTTCTTAATTAAATGCCGGAGGTCAAACTGCATAGCAAAGTGATTAAGGGCTGAGAAACAGTAGAGGCAGTGGAATCATGTAGTTGATGCCTGCAAATAAGGGTTATGTTGAAATTACATGAGAGGAAAAAGGAAATTTAACCACCAGCTTCTTCAACTTCCTTAAAAATAGAATAGAATAGAATAAACAGAGTTGGAAGGGACCTTGGAGGTCTTCTAGTCCAACCCCCTGCTTAGGCAGGAAACCCTATAGCCGTGATGACGAACCTATGGCACGCGTGCCCACACAATTTTTTGGCACAGGAGCCCAAAAAGGTTATCCACCACTGCCCTGTAGCATTTCAGACAAATGATTGCCCAATCTCTTCTTAAATACTTGCAGTGTTGGAGCATTCACAACTTCTGGAGGCAAGTTGTTCCACTGGTTGCCTCCCAGAAGTTGTGAATTCTCCAAGAAATGGAGGGATTAAATTAATTTACTTTAGCATTTCTATGATTATTACTAATGTGTGAATGCAGGTACTCTTTGACTTACAGCAGTTTGCTTAGTGAACATTTGAAGTTACAACGGTATTGAAAATAGTGTCTTATGACCGTTTTTCACACTTAACAACCGTTGAAGCATCCCCGTGGTCACATGAACAAAATTCAGAGGCTTAGCAACTGACTCATATTTATGACGGTTGCAGTGTCCCAGGGTCACGTGATCCCTTTTCGCGACCTTTTGGCAAGCAATGGGGAATCCAGATTCGTTTAACAACTGTCGTATTAACTTAAGAAAGGCAGTGATTCGCCGAACGACTGTGACAATGGGGCAAAACTCACTTAACATCTGTCTCGCTTAGCAACAATTTTGGGGCTCAATTGTGGTCGCAAGTCGAGGACTCCCCTTATTGATACAAAACCAACTTTTAGGTCATCATGTGCAATATTTCTACCTTACAGGACATTCAAGAATTTGGAAAATTTGTATCGTTGGGAAGATATCACATCTCCTTGCTTTTGGTTCTGTCATTGCAGTGCTCAATGGGAATTACAGGCCTAACACATCTTTTGGGGAAGACTTGAATGCACAATAATTGTAAAGATTTAATAGTGATCACATCCTTGATGTAGAGTAGTTTCGCCTCTTCTTGTGATATCTAGATTTCTTGACTCAGAATACAGAACACAACTCAGATTTCTCTTTGGCACAGATTGCTTATCCAACTAAACCGTGCTGTACGGAATAACAGATTACTGCAAACATCAAACTTGGTAGCACACTAAGCCATAATTATAGTTTACAAACAAACCACTTTTAGAGCTTATCTAGTGCTCTTTGAATGCTGCATTCAGTTTTGGTCCACAATGTAAAAAAGATGTTGAGACTCAAGAAAGAGCGCAGAGAAAAGCAACCAAGGTGATTAGGGGACTGGAGGCTAAAACATATGAAGAACAGTTGCAGGAATTGGGTATGTCTAGTCTAATGAAGAGAAGGACTAGGGGTGACATGTTAGCAGTGTTCCAATATCTCAGGGGCTGCCACAAAGAAGTGGGAGTCAAGCTATTCTCCAAAGCACAAGAAGGGAGGACAAGAAGCAACGGATGAAACTAATCAAGGAGAGAAGCAATCTGGAAATAAGGAGGAATTTCCTGACACTTAGAACAATGAACCAGTGGAGCAACTTGCCTCCAGAAGTTGTGAATGCTCCAACACTGGAAGTTTTTAAAAAGATATTGGATAACCATTTGTCTGAAGTGGTGTAGGGTTTCCCACCTAAGCAGGGGGTTGGATAGAAGATCTCCAAGGTCCCTTCCAACTCTGTCTATTCTATTCTATTCTATTCTATTCTATTCTATTCTATTCTATTCTATTCTATTCTATTCTATTCTTTGGTTTAAGCACTGACTGTAACATCTAGGAGCAGCATGGGCTAAATTTTCCAATTACTGTAGCTTCTTTTTTCCCCATCCCAAAAAGGAAAATATTTGAAGAAGACTTCATTGGGATGGGATCTTGAATTCTTACTTTGATTTCCCTCCTCTGAAATTCTTTGTGCAGATTCACCCTGAAAGACTGTGTGTAAGTGTGTTTCTTTTCGGTGTTCCTTAACTATCGTTTACCCCTCTTTGAAGCGTGAAGGGGAGGCCAGCGTGGAAGGGATCCTTAATCAGGTTGTCCTGGATCACCTGCAGTTGGCGCCTCTCCAGTGGGGTGAGTAATGCGAAGACTGATAGTTCGGCAGAGTAGTTTTTATTTTATTTTTATGGATTGCTTCTTGCTGAAATAACTTTGCAAAAAGCACTGAGAAACTTTGTCAAACGTTGAATGATGCAAAACGCCACTCATGCTTTTTCGGAGGGGGATCGTTTATTAAATCATTGTGACAAAATGGCTTACTATGAAATTATCGCCTCTATATTTAGTTCATGTAGTCATGGGGAATCATCCAGAGTAGACATTATTTTCCTCATAAGCAGTTGCTAAGTGCTGGGATATAATTTTGCTGTTGGTTACAGTTTTTGGTACTTTGAATTATATAGAGATTGTCTTCCTTGCTGAGTTATCAATTGCTGAGAATGTTCTTTGGTTTCGGTTCCTACCTGGCTGCCCTTTCTAGAAGTTGATCTGAGCACTCTTATTCTTTCTTAGTGACGGGCCTGGAGGCTTAATTTTGTATATTAACTTGTTGTGACTGGAAGGTTTGAGCCTGCTGTGAGCTTTGAGTCTGATGTATCAGAAGACACAGGTTCGAGTGATGAGGAAGGTTTGGCATTGGAATTGGAGCCTGCTTTAATGAGAGATGCAGACGTGAGCCAGGGGGATGAGGGAGTGTCGGAATCACCATCCTCTCCGGAACCTTCCACATCAATCATGCCTCAGGTGTCAGCAGCTGATCCACAGAACATACCAGAGTCCTTGAGTGATGATCAAAATGACGAATGTTGGGTTGATGCAAGGACTAGACGCAGGTTGAGACGTCAAGCACAATTTGAAAAGAAACGTCAAGCCAGAGACTAATTAGAGAGACTGACACACCCCTTCAAGGAATATAAGGAGGCGTGTTAGTTAACGATCCTTGTCCGGATCAAACTTTGTTAGTTACTTCGCAGCTTTGAAGAAGCCTTCTGTGTGCCTTTTTTGGCTCTGAATTATCTTGCGGCTCGTTATCTTGGTTTGAAGACAGTTTGTGGGAAAGCTGCCAACGAAGATTACAGAGAAAAGTTAACTCTGTGGTTTCTGATATTATTTGCTCGTGTTTATTTCTTTGGGACATTTGGACTCTCACTTTGTGGCTACAGGTGAGACAGAACATTGATACAATGTTTTGTAGGTGATACAATCTATCTATGAAAACCATGAGGTTGAATGCAGGATGAACCGCTTTGTTACTGCTGCTGCTGGACGTAACTTGGTTTTGTTGCCTTACTAGTTCGATTTTAAATACATGTAATCTTCGTTTTAACAAAGCCCCCTAAACGGGGCTGGAATTTTGATTGATAAGTGAAGCGATCATTAGGTGAAACATCAGGTGGTAATACTGGCCGTCAGCACTCCAATCAACCAATAAAAAAACCCACACCCAGCCAGGCCCCACATAAATGCTACACATACAATAGCCAAAAGTGCACATTCTGGTTGAGAGAAGTTGGCTGTGGATGGGCTCCAGTATGAGTTCAAAAGCTCAGAAGACTAATCCTCTGATCCAAGTGACCGACCCAGGTTGGATCAGGAAACGTCGCGTCATCTCATTGCTTAGTGATACAGTTGTGGTATGCCTAGTTGTGGTTGTTAAGCCAGCAGCCTCATAACCAGAACAGAATAGGATTCTTTATTGGACAAGTGTGATTGGACGCACAAGGAATTTGTCTCCACTGCAGAAGCTTTCAGTGCACATACCAGCAACAAGTGGTAAAATCATGACCATAATCATAAAATACAATCATCATAACTCATAAGATACAACATTCAGTGATAGTTACAAGATACTAAATAAGCAATCAGGATAAATCATAACAGTATACTAATGAAAGCAATCAACATAAATCATAAGATACAACCCACAAACTTATAGTCATAAGAAGCTAAGGAAATAGGCAATAGGAAAGATGAGAAGGATAGTAGTAATACAGCCCTACTAGGTGGTTTGACATCCCAGGGCATAAGACAGTGTTGTGGGGATTAGTTGTTTAGCAAAGTGATGGCATGGGGGTGGGTCAGGGAAATGTCCTTGTGTCTAGTTAGTTTTGTGTGCAATACCCTGTAGTGTCTGTCGTCTTGAGGGAAGAAGTTGAAACCGTTTATGTCCAGGATGAGGAGGCTCTATCGATATTTTCACAGCCCTCTTTCTGGTTTGTGCAGTATATAGGTACTCAATGGAAGGCAGGCTGGTTGCAATTATTTTTCCTGCAGTCCTATTGAAGTCCATGTCTATCTTCTAACAATAGCCAGAGCCTAACAACCAAAACTAGCTATACCTTGTTGTAACTGTCATTAAAAGAGAACCTCACATTTTCTTCTGCTGTGCCATATTTACCTCCATATGAACTCCCTTGTATTTCTCCCCCCATCTTTGCTCTTCTGGCCACTCTGCTCTCGTCCAACTACTCCTGCTATCACCCATTGCCTGCAGTTGACCTTTGTCATCCGCTTATTCTTCAGTGATGGGGTTCTGTTGGTCCTGGGATCACTGCCTGTTGTGGCTCGCCGGCAGCTGATGGAGCTAGCAGTCGAGTCAAACAGTAGCGAGGAGGTTGGGGAAGAACCTGGGCCAGTTCTGGAGGCTGAGGCCCCTGAGGAGAGCTCTGCATCAGGGGCAGAGATGGGGCCAGGGCAGGCTGGCAGTCAGCATCTGCCTTTGGGTTCGGACAGCAGTGACCGCGGGGAAGCTTCTGGAACTGGTTCCTAACCTGTGCATGCGCAGGGCTACCAGAAGACAAGAACCATTGAGAAAGCAGGGTCGACTCAGGAGTAAGGCCACACCTCGGAGATGATTGGCCCTCCCATATGACATAAAAGAGGAACAAACAGGACATGAGCTTTTGCAGGAAGCATTTAGTTCGTCTGGTCAATTCAGGCTTTGAAAAGTTCTGTTTGACTCTGTGTCAAGTTTGGCCTTGCCCCTGCATCTGGCAATTCGTTTTCTGGCTGCATTCCAAGTGTGATAAGGTGGAGGTGTTTATAAACATTCCCCTGTTGGTGAAGCCTGAACGTAATTCCCAGCCGTGGAAATAAAAGAAGTTTTGCCTGGATTAAGATTGTGTTTTATGCTTTCTAAGGAAGCCTAGGTCAGAACACTGCCATTCCCGCCATCCTAGCCTCCAGGCTCCTAGTGGGCCTGCCCACTTCCTCAGTCTCAACCTGCCGAGCAGTCCCGATGTGCACACCCAGACCGCCTGCTGGGGCTCCATACATCAGGCCCAGCTTGCTGTCTCCGTCCTTGAAAAAGCCTTGAAAAGGCCATCAGCTTCTCATGTACTGAAACCTACAGACCGCGTCTTCAGGAGAACATCTGGTGTATGCTCTATAGCAGGGGTCCCCAACCACCGGGCCACGGACCGGTACCGGGCCGTAGAACATTTCCTACCGGGCCGCCGGTTTGCTGGGCGCCGCCATCTTGTTTGACGAGAAAGTGCTTCCGGGTGAGCTTTTCCGGTTGGAAAGCGGCGTTTGGGTCCTGAAGGAATCCTCGCGTCTTAGTTTCATCGAAGAGGGGGGGCTTCGAACGAAACTAAGGCGCGAGGATTCTTTCAGCACCCAAGGCAAGGCGAACTGAGCGACCATCCCGAAGCCGTCCCGAAGCGAAGCCCATCGACAAAGGTACAAAGGAGGAGTTGAAGGTGGCGGGGAGAAGCGGGGGACGGCTGGCTGGCCGGTTGCTCGGCTCGCTTTGCCTTGTCATGCGTGCTGATGCCGGTACCGGGCCGCGGATCATTTTGTGATGCCGGTACCGGGCCGTGGCACAAAAAAGGTTGGGGGCCACTGCTCTATAGGTCACATCAGAAGTGCTCCTGGTGAATTGCCCAGCGGGTCGCAGCAAGGGCTGGAGGAGGAGAGCCCCAACACCAACGAAACCTGTGTGCGGCGGTGCAGCATGAAGTCCCATCCACAGGCCAGAAGGTCTCCTGAGGAAACCGCCAGGTGGAAACTGGGGAAAGAAGACCTTGTTGCAGCCAGCGGCTGCCTCAAGAAGGCCAGGCCAATGTTGTGCTGTAAGCAGCAGAAGCCAGAAGATAAGAGAAGGTTAGCTGGGACTTAAAATCACCGAGTGGCAGGTTCAGCAGAGGCAGCTGAGTGCTGGACAGCCAGAAGGTCGGAGATGAGAAAGAGATAGGCTGGTGGGAGAGTTAGTGGTGAAGTGAAGTGGCCCTGTGATCATTAAATGGGATGGGCTGCCAAGCACCTGAATTTTGATCGCATGACTGTGGGGCACCTCAGTGGCTGTAATTTCAGGGACCAGGTATAACTACCATTTGTTCTGCACCACCATAACTGTGAATGTATTGGGAAGGTCCCAACCTAGCAGGGAGGAGAGATCAAGCACAGAGTTAGCCTGGAATCAGCTACACAACCGGAAAAGGGCTAAATCCAACCTCCCAAGTTCCTTGGAGACTTATCTATTTGTTCCCACGAGTAGGCTGCCAGTCTGGGAACATTCCTATATTATAGGCAGAATGTAATGAAGTAGTTAGCTCAAATTCTGCACATGTAGCTCTGGTTGTTTGCACCTGACAAGATGCTTGCTGAGCAGAGATCACTCATCGAGGACCACCTGTAATGTGTTTCCTTTCTCTGAAAGCCCTTTGAAATGAAGTGTTTCGAAATGTGGTCTTTATTAAAGAAAGATCCTGGGATTTTTGTGTGGCTGTGATAATTCTGTCATGACTGGGTGTTGATTAGACGGTTTGCTTCACTCTCTAATTAAAAAGCCCAGAGTTCATTTCCAAATTGCCTTTCGGTAAAATAATCAGATGGATTGGCACCTGCTGGTGTCCATGACTCTGCATACAGCCTCCCTGCCTACTTTAATGAAGTACCTTTCTCAAATAGGAAAAAAGATAATCAATCTTTGTGGACCCAAAGTAAGTCAATCAGTACTTGTACTAGTTTGTGATGGCATATGTTCCACTGCACGTTATACATATAAGTCATCATACTTTAGTGGTTCAAACTAGCTGCCGTTAATTACGTGCAGTAAATCTTGTGCAATTGAA